CTATTCGAATGAAACCGGCCAGTAAAACTTTCCTTAATTAAATATTATAAAGTAACACTGTCTCACGGACTTTCCTGATCCTGCTGGCTTTGAACTGCAATCCTCAGATTTCAGCCTCCTGAATAGCTAGGATTACAGGCTTGAGCCACCGGTGCCCAGCTGTTTGAGACTTTATTAATATTCCACAATACTGTGAAATATGTGAAATTTATGTAATCACCTAATCTCAATTTTAAAAAGAAAAGAAAAGTGAGGGAAGGGATGGGTTAGGAGCGATGGGTGACAATGTTGTCAGACACCTTGTATTCATATACTGTTTTGTAAAATGGAAACTTCTTTGCAACTATTTAAAGATAATAATAATAATAATAGTTAAAAAGAAAACACTAAAAATATTTAAAATAGGATGGCAAACAGATAAATACACAAATCAGATCAATAAAAAATTAATTAGCTAATAAAATCTCAGTGTGATTCACACTTTCAGTGTTGGAATATATCATTATGAACTTTGCAACTTAATTAGAATGTATCATTTCTAGGTAATAATCTACTTATAATACTCTCAAAAATTGTAACAAAGATTTGACCTTCAAATAAACATATTATGTGAAGAAGAAAAAAAAGACACTACCTTTTGCCCTGGTCTGAGTGAAAATGAGCTCCTCTTCTGTCTTTGAGTAGCTGGGATTACAGGTATATACTACCACATTTGGCTCTGTTTTCAATTCTTTGCCCTTCTCCTTGTCTGTGTGTTTTGTTTTAGCTGTACTAAGCCCCTCCATGACTAGTACGCCATGACTAGTCCAGGTCACTTTCTTTTCCATGTGGTCCAGTAGCCCACAAGAAAGAGGGAGGAAATGAACCAGGGTCCTCTACCTCTCAGCTTCTCCAGAGCCTCAGTATCCCCTGACTCTACCTCCCTCTTAGGGCGGCCACTGAAAAGCAGGTGCTCTTGCTCCTAGCCTTCCTCTTTGACTCTGAGGGGTTGGACCTCCTCCCAACTGGGTCCAGGCCTCAGGCCCTTCCACTTCTTGTGTCGATTGTGTCTCGTACCAGGCGGTGCCAGCTGGCAGGCTTCACCGGAGACTGAGGTGGCACGAATATGGGGGAGGGGGAGGAAGTGGGCAGGGACCCAAGGATGTGAGAGGTGATAGTCAGAGCTGGGTGGTCAGAGCTGGGTGGCTGGCATGGCAGTGCCATGGGCCAGGCAAAAACTAGGCAGCACAATCTCCGGTCTTCCAGTGGAGGTGGGGAGGTGCCAGCCCCCTGGCTGCTCCCATCCCTGGCAAATCCAATCCTCTCCCCACCACCTCCTTTCCTCTACCCTCACCCCTTAAGCTGCCCTGACTAATTCTTCTTGGTCTCTTTAAGAGCCGCCTGGGAACTGGGACACTGGAGGGGGCTGGCAGGCACCCCCACCCCTCCCATGCTCAACCCAGCTCCAGCTCCACCCCTGCTCTGTACAGACTCTGCTGGAAGTCTTGAAGCCTGGGTTAGGGTCTCCACTGCTGGGCCCAGGGGTAAGGCTTGAAAGTGGTGGGGAAAGGGACCATGGTCCCTGGGGTGGGGTTTGGAGGGGTGTTACCCCATTCTGGGGCCATACACATGGAGTGTCTGTGTACCAGTTTAACAGCAAGGGGTGGTCTTCTGGACTCAGAGTGGGGGAGGGGCAGCTCCAGGGACCTGGAGGGGCAAATATTGAGGGGCAGGATGCCCGTGTCTCCTCACTCCCCCCCCCATCTCATTTCCCCTGGGACTAACATTTGCTAAACTTCTTCAGCCCTTCTCTGCTCCTCTCACAATCAAAGACCTAGAGCTGACACGCCATCTTCTCACCTGTAGGGCAACTGAGGCTAGACAAACTAGAAGCAATGGGACTGACACACACTGCAGCAGGGAAGCTGGAGAGTAGGCTGGGGGAGGGCTCTCTCCTTGACTTCCCCAAGAACAAGTGACTGGAATGTCCAGACCACCCCAGTGAGTTTCCCACTACAGCCAGAGCCGCCATTTTGGGACTTTGCTCGTTCATCAGGACCCCTCAAGCCCTCTCTAGAGGTCCTCAGACCTGTGTGCCAAAGCCAGGAAAGGCCCCCTAACTCAGACCAGTAGACTCCCCAAGGTCCTTGTATCATTTCAGAAATGCAGCCCTTTTCCATGGGCTGAATTCCCCTAAAAGTGGAAGAGCTGGGCTAGGGACCCGAGAACCTGCGATGGGAATGTGCAATCTTCCTGCAGCTCAACGTCCCTCCTTCACCTTCAGTCCCAGTTCAGCTGCCTTTAGTCCCTGCCATCTCATCTCATGTACCCATATTGGGCAGCAGAGCCAGAACAAGCAGGCAGGGTACTGAGGGTCAGGAAGGATGGAGTGTCCGGAAATGGGGGTAGGAGGCTGGAAGGGGTGATGACAGTTTTGCTGAGTCTGCTTCTGCTTTCAACACATGGCATGCCCTCCCTGCCCGTCCCCAGAAGGAAATACTTACCCACCACCCCAACCTAGACTCAAAAGGAAACCAGAATTGACCTGTTAAACCTTCTACCCGGGGCCAACTCTAGCCCATTCACTTCCTTCTTCCTAAAAATACAATAAAGTCTACAGAGGAGCCAAGCTGCTCCTTGATAGGGTAGAAAGCCCTTCTTTTACTTTCATAAGTCAGGCAGGTCCGGGACCCTGCCTGGCTGGAATCATATAGTCAGTTTCTAGGCAGTCAGGCATAGGACCCAGGGTTTTTGCTTCTCAGCCCGTAGTACTCTTTTATCACTCTGCCCTTCTATATGTGGACAGAGGCCAGTCTAGAAGGGGTTTTTTTTAAAAAAGTTTCTCATTTGACCAGAAGAAGTGGAGGTCTTGAAGGGACAGAAGGACATTTTAGTGATAGGGTTACTTAGGATCACAGATAAAGGGGACACCAAGCCAGCTCCTGAAGCCATCATTCAAACCTCTGCCTACCTCTGATGTTTCCCAGATGAGAACAAAATCCAGCTCAGTTCTGTTTCTTTTTCTATCTAGTCTAGACCTTTGGAAAGTCCTTTTTGAAGTCTGCCCACTAGCTCTCCTCTTACAGCATGAAATTTTCCCTCCTAACTGGTGTTAGCCAGTGAAGGTTTCTGAAAAGCCCTCTTGGTAAGGAAGCTTAGGAGAGCAGGCAAAACTGGAACCTGAGAATAGCCCTCCCTCAAAAGTCGGAATACATTTACCAAAGACAGCTTCTTGACAGAAACCTTGACCCTTGGATTATTTGCATGTATATATAGTGTTCATTAGTAAATTCCATTTGCATGGGGCTATGTTAGTGTCCAGATGTTTCCCCTACTTAAAAACAGTTTCCTAGGAGGAGGAGACCCACAGAAACTGGCTATGGGGAGGGGGGGGACTCATCCCAATGTATCCCATAAATCCAGCTGGGGTACATTATACAGTGGTGCCAGCCTGAGGGTGGGCAAGGGAGTTGATCAGGGACTGGACTCAGGGGCTAATGTGTTCCCTCCTTGCCTCTCTTTCCACATCTGGAGCCCTTCTTCCTCCACACATGTGGATCCAGGAGCCACAGAAGGTGGGGTGCAGTGGGACATGAGAGGAGGAGGAAGAATATGGGGAGATTCTAGTCCCTCCCACTTAGAGATGCGGTCGCCATGGTGACTAAGGACCAGTGAGGTGGGATGGGGTTGGGGATGGGGGTGGGGGTGTGGCAGGGAGAGAGGCACTGGGAGACCGGAAGCCTGCCTGGCATTCCAGGAGGAGGGAAACGCAGCAGCGGCATCCCCAAGCCCCAGGTAAGGGATCTCCAGGCAGAGAGCTGACAGTTCTGAAAGGAGGGGGCGGGCCATTGTCTGGCGCCGGCTCTGCCCTAAGGAGGGGGCAGACAGAGGGGTCGGGCCATTGTGTGCAACACTCAACACAGCTTCTAGCACTAGCCAGACTGGAAGAGGGCTAGAAGGCTCTGGGTACGGGGTTAGGAGGAATGGGTCTGTGTGGGCAACCAGAAGGCTGGAGACAGACTGGGATGGGAAGAGGTGGAAGGATGCAGGGCATATAGAGGCTTGGGGACTGCCGAGTGCCTATACCCCCAGGAGGCACTCAATCTATGTAAATTGCTTTGACTTGCTTGTGATCGTAAGAAGAGGATAGGTAGATGAGGAACAGAGCTGTGGGGCTAAGGAAGCAGAGCAGGAAGCTGATGGTCCCCAGGACTGCGTTCTTCTGAGGGCTGCCCCTGAGGCTGGAGGAGGAGGAGTTGGGGAAACCGGACCTGCCAGGTCATTGGTGAGGTTTGACCTGGCTGTAGGAGCTTTTTCTTCAGAAAGGCATTCCTGCAATACAGGGACACAGAGACCTGGGTTGCTGGAAGTGCTGAGGTAGCATGGGGTGAGATGGAAAGCAATTGCTCCATCATCCTTCCCACCTCCACCCACACATCTAATCTTTACTCTGCCATACAGCCAGATAGGAAGGGGCTACTGTTCCATGTGGTCTTAAGGATTTTTTTTTGGGGGGGGAATGTACCCCAGTTGGATTTAGGGAATACACTGGGAGAAGTTCCCGAGGATGTGGACCCTTGGGGTTAAGCTGAATATTGTTGTCTTGGGGGGCAGGGGTCACCAGGCTGGGCTTCAGGGCTTGTGAAAGCATAGGCTGGGAGAATCTTGGAGTGAGACTTTAAAACTGGCACTGCCACTCTGGCCTGGTCCCAGAAGATCTGACCTTGGGGCCACCCCCTCCCCCCCACCTGCTGCCTGACGCTAACCCCAACCCAGCCAGGTCCTTCCCCTCCCTGGCCTTGGTTTCCTCTTTTGTGCAGTGGGGGAGGGTGTGGGGCTGCCAGCTCTGAGCCTCTGGGACGCTGTGGGCAGGACCTGTACATAATTTGTGGGGCCCAATGCAAAAGGCAAATGTGGGCCTCTTATTTAGAAATTAGCAAGACTTCCAAAATAGCAGAGTATTAGACACAGTGTGGCCCTTCTGAGAAAGGGGCCCTGTGTGACTGTACAGGTCATGTACCTGTGAAGCTCACTCTGTTTCTGCTTGATATTACCAGTGGACTCTTTGGATCTGACTCCAGAGGTTCAGGCATGAGGGGTTACACTGCTGCTGGGGGTAGGGCTTAGAATACCCTTATGTCCACCTGGCTCTTTGCTGGATTTGATCTGGAGATGGAGACCCTCAAGGAGGCAGCAGGTAGGAACTGGCGGCCTCACCTCAGGATGGAGTCAGGAATCCCCTAGAGTGATTGTTTCTTAACAGCCTAGAGAAGACAGAGATTGCTACCCTCCCACCCTTCCACTCACTATCTCCATCCAACTGCACTTCCAACCCTGGGAGAAGGTGAGTAGGACTTGAGATACCATGTAGGTAAGGGGAAGATCTGAATTTAATTTGGCTCCCTGAGCTTCACTTTTATTCTTGGTAAATGGAATTGTAAACCTACCTGCTAAGTTATTAGGAAGAAAGAAGCTAGACAGTGTCAACTCTTCATATTGACTGGTGAGGCTGGGGAGAAAAGAGATTTTGGGGCTGGGAGATTTCTGAGTGCTAGGGGAAGGAACTAGGACAGAGCATGGAATCTACACTTCCAGAGGGGACAGGAATAGGGCATCGGGCAGGGAGGATGGCACTGAAAATCCCCCTGGCTTTGCCCATCATAGCTCCTCCCAGTGACCCAGATAAGCCTATCTGTTCCAGTAGAGAAGCCCTGGGATGGTGGCTTCCCAGATCTGAGTGGCAGTAGGCAGGTTGAGGAGACATAGAAGATGTTGGGATCAGGAGAATGGAAGTTTTGCTTGATTTTGAGAGCTAGGCAGGGTCCTGGCAACCAGCCTCAGAGTCTGGGGGAATCTTAGGCAAGTCTCAACAGATACACTTGTCAGGAGGGATTCTGTATAAGCCAAGTCTCTGGGGAACTAAGAGGTAATGGAGTAGAGTTTGCAGAAAGAAGGCTAGGGAAAAAAGGGTGCTGAAAAGGCATTCTAAAGAGTAACTTGGGCTGGTGCTGTAGCAGGAGGGGCGGAAGTTACATTATAGGAAGGACTTCCTGTTGTGTTTCAAAAGGAGAGAGGTTACTTATTGGAGTTGGGTTAGCCCTGAGACATTCATGGTTTTTAACCTGAAGTCAGATGACCTGGGTGAGTGGGCAGGAACCTAGCCACTTTATAGGCCATGGAGCCCTGGTGCCTCATTAACCCTGCATTATGAGGTTCCCACTCCCATACCCTGGAGCCTAAACAGCCACTCTTGGGGGCTGGATGCCTCAGAAATGTGTCCCATAAGCATGAGCCCAGATGGGGCATTTCCTGGGCTTCTCTCTGGCCTGAAGCCATGCTGAGATTGATAGAGATTGTACTACAGGAAGGATTTTCTCTGCTAAGTCATGGACAGTTGCCTAAGACAGTTGTTGTACCTTTTAAAACTGAAAGTGGGAGGTTTGAGGATTAGACTCCTTCAGGGACTTCCCAGCAAGTATGAGTAGTGAGACCCCTCCATTTGAATAAAGTGAAAAGAGGAATATGAAACATAATGTCATGTCCCTTATTTGGGAAACCTTGAGTAAGAAGAGAAGCCGCAGAGTGTTGGTTAGACTGGATGTAAAATGGTAAAGAGATGGGGGGGGGGGGGTGTGTGTGTCACTGAAGTGACCTGAAATGGCCCTTTAAACTTTCTGGATAGACTAAGGCAGGTGGAGGTGGGGAAAGAGGTGTGTCTCCTGTGGTGCCAAGGAGTTTTTTTTTCTCCTTCCTGATCCATCAACTTCCGCCCCAGCCAGGATCTGTCACAACTCGAGGTGGAAATTCTGGTTTCCCTGGCCCAGAGCTGGTGCTGGCTTTGGCATGATGGGTGCCTGGAGGGCCGCGCTCCCATTTCAGCCTGGTTGAGCCTTCTGCCCCCTGCCTTTGGGGCCTGAGAACCCCCTCCTTCTTTCTTTTGGATGACACCCCCACCCCAGAGTGTGGACACCCGAGTTTCTCACTGTGACTGGTCCAAGAGTATGTGAGGTGAGATGGGCAGCTTGAGGTTGGTGATCTTGGGGCCGGGGGAGATGATTCAGAGCCTCAGGGAAGCAGAAGGCAGGAGGAAGTGGGAGCAAAGAGACAAGAAGGATTGCCAAAACTAAGAGACACCCCCTAATCCCCCTTTAGTCCAGCCCAGGCTGTTCCAGGAAAATGTGGAGAGCCACGCTGGTGGGTTGCATTCACATTGCTTCCTGAAAGAAGAAGGCCAGGTAGGCTTGAGGGAGCTGCAAAGCCCCTGAGCCCCTGGGGCTCACAGGGAGCTTAAAGCAAGTTGGCTCAAACCTGGGCTGTCAGTCTGGGTCAGGGTGAGTGGGAGGCAACATAAATGTCAGCAGATCTGAAAGTGATAGGAAAATCGGAGGAGTTTTTATTTGGAGTACAGGTCTCGTCTGCCCAACCTCAGGTATCTGTTAGTGGAGGCTCTGGGCTCTGAGAGCCTTGAATGGCTATGGAAGAAAGACATATAGAATTCCCTGATGGAAAGGTAAGAAATGGCAGGGCAGAGCTATTGGTGAGGAGACCAGAATGGGCAGCACAGGGAACCCTGAGCGTCTACCCAGAAGGAAAATGAGGCAATAGGCAAAGCTATGAGCTAGGAGCATGATAGAAGTGAGATTCTGAGGGCTATACTAGATGGGGAAGTGCCCCCTTTCTATGCCCCCCCTCGACTTCTGCTGCCAGGGGTTCTCCAATTGGTCCTCAGGGGGGATGTGGTAAGGACTGCTTACCCAGAAAGTGCCTGCGTGCCTGTTTCCTCAGAGCCATCGGCTGACAGCCTCTGGCTGAGCATGGCCCTCTCAGCTCTGGGCCTGGACCCCTGCAGCCTCCTGGGACTTTTCTTCTTCCAACTGCTCCTGCTCCTGCTGTCACCAGCCACCACCATGGATAATGGGAAGGGACCTATGCCCAGAGTCAAATACTATGCAGGTAAGTGTTTTAGGGCCAAGAGGTGGTGGGATGATGATGCAGCGCTGGAGAGGGGTGGAGGAAGGAGAGAGAGAGAAGGCAGAGAGAGAGAGAGAGAGAAAGAGAGAGAGAGAGAGAGAGAGAGAGAGAGAGAGAGGAGAGAGAGAGAGAGAGAGAGAGAGAGAGAGAGAGAGAGATGGGAAAAATGGACTTGGAGAAACAGAGATGGGAAGAGATGCCAAGGAGCAGCAGAGGGCCCAGCAGAAGGAAAGAGAAATGCAAACCAGGAGGCACAGAATGAGGGAAGAGAAGGAAAGTCCAGGATCCAGGACCATCATTCCTTCCATTTCTCCAAAGCTGGTGTTATCTCTTTCCCTCAAGAGTCACAGTTACCTAGCAAGACAACTTAAGCTCCAAAACAAAACAACAACAAAAACCCCAAAATGCTTGCATCCCTGGGTACCCCTAAATCAAGATATCTGCTAGAAAATCATCTGTAGAACTGGTGACCCATAGCTTTCCAGGCCAAAGCCAACCATAGAGACCAGGTCATGTGTAGTACCTTGGGCACCAGGAGTACAAGAATACAGTGTAGCCCATTGGATATGGTTTGGCGCTCTGCAGCACAGCTAAGGTGACTTCTCACTGGGGCTATAAGGCTGCTGGCCCCTCATCTACCAGGGGAAGACTCAGGGAAGGAGGTGGGTCCTTCAGTAGTAGGGGCACAGCACAGGTAATCCTGAAACAACCTGGTAAAGGAGATGCAGTTGCCCATTGATGAAGAGGCCTCATTTGTGTGGGCCATGAGATTAGGAAGATGGACATGCCTGTCCTCAAGGAGCTCACAATCCCAAAGGGGAAGCAGAATGAGTAATCAGACAGTGCTCTTGCAGAGTGGAGTATATACAGGTCCTTCCTTCCCTATCTTTTCTCTCCCCCATCCCTCCTCTTGATCCTAAGATTCCCTGAGCCTGCAGAGGTAACAGTTAGTCTAACAAGTGTCAACGTGCAGATGTGCTGATGAGCACTCCTGTTTAGGGCAGGAACACATGCACGCGCGTGCGCTCGCACACACACACACACACACACACACACACATGCAAGCATGTGCGCAAGGCAGACAACAAACCCTAGGTGAGCTTCCCACAATGAATTCACTTTCCCTGCAGGTGATGTTCAGGTATGCCCTCATGGACCTCAGAAAGGGAGACACATGCTTCCTTTCTGTTCATGGTGTTTATAGAGGTGGAAATTTCCTGTAGTGAAGGAAGGAAGGAAACAGCAGGGGTAATGGAGGTGACAGGAAGGATCTTAAAACCCCTAACTACTCAGACACCGTTCTGTGTAAACTTCCCTTCCTTGCTGTGAACACCTTCCTGTCTATCTGCCGGCTGTCCCCCCTCCATTGGAGATCCAGGTGTCTTATTCTACTGTAGACACCAGACTTGAAAGAGCATTGAGCCTCATTTCATTTCCTGGCTATCTGGGGGTACAGGCACCATCCTCTAGCCCTAGGCTGTCATTGCCTGTCTCTGGCTGCTTCTCTTCTCTACTGGGGACTCAACACACGAAGCTCCTGTGACTACCAGCAGGGGCACAGGGGCCTGCTGGTGGAGAAGAGGGAGTCCAGCAGCCAAAGCCTGGAGATCCAGCTCTGTCAACCCTTCCCTTCCCTTCCTTTTGTCTCTGGAGTCTGATGCTGCCCACAACTCCTTCTCACTTTCTCCTTGTCACACCTCTCAACAGGAGATGGACGCAGGGCACTTAGCTTCTTCCACCAGAAAGGTCTCCGGGATTTTGACACTCTGCTCCTGAGTAGCGATGGAAACACTCTCTATGTGGGTGCTCGAGAGGCCATTCTGGCCTTGAATATCCAAGATCCAGGAGTTCCAAGGCTGAAGAACATGGTGAGGAGGCCAGGGATTGAGGGTGTGAGCTGGGAATGAGAAGGGAACAGCATCTGCCCTGTGCCAGAACAGCCCAACTGCCTTTCTCTAACTCAGCAGTTTTTGCTATATACATCTTGTGAGTGTAATAGCAAGAAATATTTTATGGTCTCACTATTCATTGGTATCACAAGTATTGTTTGAAAAATGTCAAATTCTAAAATGGCTGATAGGGAAATTACCAACGTGAGATAAACATTGACTCAAATTGTATCAATAACTTAATTGTATCCACCCACTGGTAGAAATCATTAATATTTCTGTTAGTACCACCCTAGTATGTAGCAACTTGAACTACAGAAGAGTAGGAAGGGAGGGAGAGTATTCCTCGTTATTGATCCATTCCAAGGTTTATTATTTATTTATTATTTTTATTTATGGTTAAAAATGCAGATTGTCAAAGTGTGCCACAGGAACTGATATTTTGACAATAGCTCCAGGAAATGTGTGGTTTAACAGCAGCTGCTGTGTATACCATACTTTGCATTAGATGATTGCATCTACAACCCTGGTTGTAGATCAGCATCCTATGAGAGTGAACAGACAATGAGTGGCAGAACCTAGCTTTGAACTTAGGTCTGTCTCATTCCTAAGGCTGTCTTCTATCATCTATGTCTTGATGAATATAATAGTTTTGAGTTTGATATTATAACTCCCCACTGGTATGTCACTAACCAGCAATCCTACTGTTGATTTTTTGTGTGTATATATGTATGTATGTGTGTATGTATGTATGCATGTATGTATGCATGTAGTCAGTCCTGGACCAGCAAAACTCAAGGAATGGTACTGTCCCTGAGCTTTTTAGCTCAAGACTAGTGCTCTACCACTTTGAGCCACAGTGCTACCTCTGATTTTCTGGTGGTTAATTGGAGATGAGTCTCATGGACTTTTCCACCCGGCTGTTTTTTTAACAGCAATCGTCAGATCTCAGCCTCCTGAGTAGCCAGGATTACAGACATGAGCTTCTGGCACCCAGCATGATTTTTATTTATTTGTTTGCATGTGCGTGTGCCTGTGCGGGTGCGTGTGTGTGTGTGTCTGTCTGTCTGTGTTTGTGTCAGTGACTATGTTGGTACTGAGGTTTGAACTCTGGACCTCAAGCTCTCTTTAAGCTTTTTTCTACCACTTGAACCACACCTCTTCTTCTGGCCTTTTGCTGGCTAATTGGAGATAAGGGTCTGGAAGATTGACCTGCCCATAACTTAAAACTGAGATTCTCAGATCTCAGGCTTCTGAGTAATTAGGATTATAGGCATGAGCCACCAGCACCTGACCCTACTGTTGATTTTATGCTAGAGCTAGTGAGGGGATAGCAGGTCACAGAAGATGCAAAGACCTCATTTCTTTTCATCCCCCCCTCTCAACTCCCCACTTCAGATATCTTGGCCTGCCAGTGACAGAAAAAAGAGTGAATGTGCCTTAAAGAAGAAGAGCAATGAGGTAAGCAGAGGTGGAGGAATGAGGTTTCTGAGTAAAGACCCAATGTCTCTAGACATGTGGGACAGACAGAGGAGGGCACTCATTTGCATGATTTTTTTCTTGGATCATGTTGTACAAAGTTATACAGAGAGAGTTCAGCATTGCCCAGCCCTTCTTTGCACTAGGAAGTGTGGAGACAATCTCTAGGGACAGAAGAGCTTGGGATAAGGGGTCTCAAGGTCTAAATTCTCTGTCTCTCTACAGACACAGTGTTTCAACTTCATTCGTGTCCTGGTCTCTTTCAATGATACTCATCTCTACGCCTGTGGGACCTTTGCCTTCAGCCCGGCTTGTACCTTCATTGTGAGTTACCTTACACCCAGCTCACATGCCCCCAAATGTCCCTTTTTACATCTACCCACAGCCAATCTTCAGTAGCTCTGGAAGACTTGGGTCCCTCAGGACCCTCCCGAGCTTCTTGGCCCCTCTTTATCCCTTTCCCTTCCTCCCTCATGCTTCTCATTTCCCAGATGTGAGATCCTGGCATTCTGGGCCCCCAGCCACTTCCCCCCTTTAGGGACTCCAAGATTCCCACCTGCTGCCCATCTTGGAGGACAAAGTCACAGAAGGGAAAGGCCAAAGCCCCTTTGACCCTGCTCACAAGCACACAGCTGTCTTGGTGGGTGAGTATCAGGCTTCCTGAAATTGGATTATGATAGAATTACTAACAAGACAGGAGACAGGAAAGACAAAAGCCTCAGAGCACAAAATCAGAGGGAGAGTCAGGCATCCCAACCAGCAGTTCCGGTGCCACAGAGGAGGTAAAAGATAGACACATATGTGAGAAGACTCAGTGGCACCAGGTTGGAGATGGGAAACAGGCAAAGACAAGACCTTGAGTTTTACTCACTTGTTTAACCAATGCACCAGAAAAGGTGCTGTGGTGTGCCAGGCACTAGGTTAGGTCTTGATGGAATTATAAAGAAGAATCATGGCCCTGTGCTTTTACACAGACCATTATAGACCTTCTTCCCTGGCTTCCTGGAGGAAAAAAAAAAGCCTTTGGCTTTTGAGTAGGAATTAGAAGAAATATAGGTAGGACATGCGAGGTGTTCCAGGAAGAGAAGGGTATGATTGAAAGTGTGGAATCAGAAAACAGTCACCTGGCATCAATGAGTGATTCTACTTGACAAGTGGTTCAGCTGGGTGTGTGGGGGAGTATCCAGAGAAAGGCTGGGGAAATACCAAACACAGAAGACCACATTGACCAGTTCCTTTGGCTTTGGGGCTCTGCAGAAGGATGCATAATGAAGACTGACAGGTGCTGACCCCAGCCAAGGGCAAGTCTGGCCAGGGCAGGGTAACTTTACCTTCATCTGTTAAATTCTCTCTTGCTCCCTTCCCTACTCTAGATGGGATGCTCTATTCTGGCACCATGAACAACTTCCTGGGCAGTGAGCCCATCCTGATGCGTACACTGGGATCTCAACCTGTTCTCAAGACTGACACCTTTCTCCGCTGGCTGCACCGTAAGGACCGTTTAACTCTCAGCCACTATGGGTCTGGCCGCTTCCCCTTAGATCTGAAACCTGTTGGGGGTACATGCCATGCATTAGGATTACCGCAGGCAGGGAAGGCACAGCCCTGGTCCTACGAAGCTTTCACTTTGCATAAATAAAGTCACACACACCTCGTCCCCATCATTCCCCTGGGCAAGCTGGAGCCTATTTCTCAGGTTGTCACAAAGGGGAACCCAGAGCATCCAGATGCTCAGACCCTAAGCCCATCTGACCCGCCCTCCGCAGCGGACGCCTCCTTCGTGGCAGCCATCCCTTCGACCCAGGTTGTCTACTTCTTCTTCGAAGAGACAGCTAGCGAGTTTGACTTCTTTGAGAGGTTGCACACATCCCGGGTGGCCAGAGTCTGCAAGGTGAGCCTTCTGGGAGGGAGGCAGGGCTGGTGAGGCAAAGCCAATGGGGAGGTGGCAGAGGCGAGCTTGAGTTCTGGAGACCCAATGGGAGTGGGGCTACGCGGGGGGCGGGGCCCTGTGAGGCAGAGGGCGTCCCTGACTCCGCCCACGACCCCCAGAATGACGTGGGCGGTGAAAAGCTGCTGCAGAAGAAGTGGACCACCTTCCTGAAGGCCCAGCTGCTCTGCGCTCAGGAGGGGCAGCTGCCGTTCAACGTCATCCGCCACGCGGTCCTGCTGCCCGCAGAAGCTCCCTCGGTTCCCAGAATCTATGCAGTCTTCACCTCCCAGTGGTGAGCAGTCGGGCCCGGAGCAGGAGGGCTGGGCACAGGATCTGAAGACAAAAGCAGTGTCAGCCAGCTAGATGAGGGAGGCGCGAACTGGGCTGAGCCTAGCACATGAGTTCACTGTACTTGTCACAGGAAAGCCGTTTGGTCTTTACCACCTTCCAGAAATGTCACTCTGTCCTTCATGAATGTGGGGAAATTTTGGTCCAGGGATAGAGAAGCCTGCGTCAAATGTGCAAGGCCTTGAGTTCAAAACACTGCCACAAACAAAAGTCTATGAAAAAAAAATCAAGCTGGTTATCGGTGACTCACCCCCATAATTCTAGACAGCCAGGAGGCTGACATCTGAGGATCAAGGTTTGAAGCCAGCCTGGGTAGGAAAACCTGTAAGACTCTTCCCTACAATTAACTACCAAAAAAGCCAGAAGTGGAGCTCTGACTCAAGTGGTAGAATGTGGAGTAAAAGCAAAAGCTCAGGGGCAGCACCCAGGCCCTGAGTTTAAACCCCAGGATTAGAAAGAAAGAAAATAGGGGGTGGGGAAAGAATAAGGAAACGGGAATAAAAGAAAAATATAGGGCTGGGAATGTGGCTCAGTGGTAGAGCGCTTGCCTTGCATGCATGAGGCTCTGGGTTCAATTCCTCAGCACCACATAAGCAGGAAAAAAAAAGCTGGAAGTGGCTCTGTGGCTCAAGTGGTAGAGTGCTAGCCTTGAGCTGAAGAGCTGAGGGACAGTGCCCAGGCCCAGAGTTCAGGCCTCACGACCGGATCCAAAAAATAAAAAAAGAAAAATATAGCTGGGCACCAGTGTCTCATGCCTGTAATCCTAGCTACTCAGGAGGCTGACATCTGAGGAAAGCAGTTCAAAGCCAGCCTGGGCAGGAAAGTCTATGAGACTCTTTTTTTTTTTTTTTTTGGTCGGTTGTGGTGTTTGAACTCTGGGCCTGGGCGCTGTCCCTCAGCTCTTCAGCTCAAGGCGAGCGCTCTACCACTTGAGCTATAGCACCACTTCCGGTTTTCTGGTGGTTTATTGGAGATAGGAGTCTCACGGTCTCTCCTGCCCGGGCTGGCTTTGAACCACGATCCTCAGATCTCAGCCTCCTGAGTAGCTAGGATTACAGGCGTGAGCCACCAGCGCCCGGCCTCTATGAGACTCTTATCTCCAATAAACCGCCAGAAAACTGGAAGTGGCATTGTGGCTCAAGTGGTAGAGCACTGGCCTTGAGCTGAAGAGCATATATAAGCTCACTATGTTACACAAGCAAATCTTAAGTCCCTGGCTGCCAGCCAAAAGTGAGCGTTTCCTAATGGCCAGGGCCAAAAGAGAAACATCATCACTATCATTAGAGAAAAAGAAAAGCACTGTTTTGAAGCTGAAAAAGTTTCACTGATGTGTCTAAGGTGCTACAGTGTAGTCTGAATGGACCCACACTTCATCTGTCAGGTGCCAAAGTCATTGATGTAAATAGGGTCTAGGATCTAGAACTGAGAACCTGGTTAAAGAGCAAGAGAGACTAGCCCTATCTCCACAGACCAGGACTGAAGTAATACAAATCATAGAGTAGGCAGGCTTTTGGTAGGTTCTCTGAAGGCCAAGAAACCAAGAGGTTTCCTGTGGAGCCAGCCTGAAGCCGGTTATACTGCCCCTCCTATGGGCACAGCCTAGTCTAGGCAGGCAGGATGGGCAGGAGCCACCCCAGGGCCTGTGTCCCAATTAATTCTCATTAAGGATAATCATATTTCAGATCCTAAGATGGGCCTCCAGCCAGGCCAAGGGCCATAGTCAGTGAACTCCATGGGGCTCTCCCAGGCCTTATCACAGGAAGGGAGAGAAGAGGCAGCGAGAGGTTAGTCTAACCCTCCACATGCTGCCCTCCTGGAGTTTCTCACTGAGAATGGGCCAGGGCTGGAGGGGCAATCAGCTGGTATGGCACAGGAAACCACAGACAATGTCCTCTCTGGCTGATTTCAGGCAGGTTGGAGGGACCCGGAGTTCTGCAGTTTGTACTTTCTCGCTCACGGACATCGAGCGTGTCTTTAAAGGAAAGTACAAGGAACTGAACAAAGAAACTTCACGCTGGACCACTTATAGAGGCCATGAGACTGATCCCCGGCCAGGCAGTGTAAGTACTTTGCCCCTACTAAGTAAAGCCTGCCCCAAATATGAATGTAAAAGCCCCTATTGTAACATGGTGAGTGCTCAGTAACTGTTCAAGCTTCCCACTTCACCCAACCCATCTGCTCAGATACACATATGGCCAGGTGCTCCACATTCCACAGATGTCCAACTCTGTCCTATCCTCAGAGTCGTTGCCAGGATTACCTTTCTCTCAAGGTTAAGTGCACACCAAATATCTAGAGCTACCGCTCAGGAACTAAGGGAAGCTGGGGTGCTTGCCAAGCATTATCTTGAATAACTTCACCTGCATTTCTTATGTAACTTTCTTAGTTGTCGACCTTGCTGCCACTTCTTTCATGGTTCCTGGCTTTCTTCCTCTCTTCAGAATCTGGTCTCTCCTGTGTCACTGGATTTTTCTCATTCATGGAGTAAAAATCTGTCATCCTGCCCTACCTCTTATGTAATTTTTTCTAAAAACCATACACACACATATATGATTTGAAGAATCAAATAGGTCTATAAGACTGGTTCTAAAAATAGCCGTATTCTCTTTTTTCTTCTTGGGAGTACTGAGATTTGATCTCAGGGAAATCCTCTTATTTATGTTTCCTGAGTAGCTGGGATGCTAGGCATACACTACCAAACTGATACCCATATATTGCCTGGACTGGCTTCAAACCTTGACCCTTATTTATTTGTTTGTTTATTTGTCAGTACTGGGGCTTGAATTTAGGGCCTTGCCCCCTGCTTAGCTTTTTTGTTCAAGACTGGTGCTTTACCACTAAAGCTATACCTCTACTTCCAGCTTTTTTGGCAGAAATAAGAGTCTTTCAGATTTTTCTGCCAAAGCTGGCTTCAAACAACAGTCCTCAGATCTCAGCCTCCTGAGTAGCTAGAATTGCAGGTGTGAGCCTGGCTCCCGTTTGAAACAGTGATCCTTTGAGCTGAGCTCTGCTCAGCTTTCTTTTTTTTTGTATTTTTAAATTATAAAAATACTGTACAGAGGGGAGGTTACATGAGTAAGGTAATGAGTACATTTCCTATTGAGCATTGTTACCTCCTCATTTGTTTTTCCCCAACCATCCCTTCCCTCCCCACTTCCCCAACTCCCTCCCCCCAAGTTGTGAAGTTCATTTTCAACATAGTGTCTTCAGCTTTCTTTTCTTGTTTTTAAACCAAGCTATTGCTATGCAGCTCGGCTTGCAATCTTCTTGCTTTAGCTTCTTGAGTACTGAGATTACAGATGTATACCATCTTACCTGGTTTATAGCCCATTCTCTACCCTCTCTTTCCCAACTACCTTCAAGTCTTTTGGTCTTGATTCTTTTTATATTTTCATCCAAATCTCATATACCACATTCTGTGTTCTTTTGTTAGTTATGATATTGAGGAAGGAACCCATAATCTTACATAAGCTAGCTAAACACTGTACTATTGAGCTAAATACAATGTTTTATTGCTAGATCTTAATATTTTAGTTTCAGATAGTGTGCACTGAGTTCCTTTTTCTGGAAGGTGAGAATTGAATTGTGGTTTGCCACCAGTACCCAGTGTGCTAGACTACTGGTGAGAACTGGTTTTGCACTATCACATGTTCACTGACACCACATTGGTATCTTGAAATCATCTATGAAGGAAATGGGAAAACCAGCAAATACCACAAATCAGGCTTTATATGTCCTTCCCTTCCAAAACAAACTGGCTAACCAACAAACCTAGCCCCAATCTACCAGTATAGTTTTACAATAATGTTTCTTGGAAGTACTGGGGTTTGAACTCAAGGTCTTGTGTTTGCAAAGCATATAAATGACTGCAAAGCCATGTCTCTAGTCTCCAGCCCATTTTTGCACTGGTGGTTTTTCTGATAGAGTCCTGTTGTTTTCTGATTATGTTATACTGTTTCTGCTGGTACTGGAGCTTGAACACAGGGCCTTAAGTTCATGCTTAGCTTTTTTGTTAAAGACTGGTACTCTATCACTAGAGCCACACTTTCACTTCTGCTTGCTTGCTTTTCTTTCTTTCTTTCCTTCCTTCCTTCCTTTCTTTCCTTCTTTCTTTCTTTCTTTCTTTCTTCTTTCTGCTGGTTATTAGGAGATAAAAGTCTCTTGGATTTGTCTCTCTGGGCTGGTTTCAAACCTTGATCTTCAGATCTCAGTCTTCTGAGTAGTTAAGATTACAGGTATGAGCTGCAAATGCCTGGCTGCTTTTCTGCCTAGTCTAGCTTGAACAAATTTGGATCATCAGTAGCTAGTACAGGTATGAGCCATCAATGTGTAGCACTTGTAGTTTTGCTGAAGTCCTAATCCCAGTATGACTATTGAGATATAAACCAGGCTTTTATTTATTTTTTTTCTTGCATTGCTGGGAATCAACTCTAGGGCCTCACACCTGCCAAGCAAGCACTCTACCACTGAGGTACAACTCCAGTCCTATAGTAATTTTGGTTAGATCAATATTTATGAATCTTATTATTCACAGATGAACCAGGTAATAAAGCCATGATTACTTTTCCTTTTTGCATAATTGTTGTTTTCCCTGAGGTTAGTAATTATTTTGATTTTTTTTGCTTGCTTTGTTTTCAAGCTCTTAACTCTAATCCAACCCCACACTCCTCCTGAATGAAATGAGTATCTCCTGAAGACAGACCCATTAGCTATTAAAAAAGTTTCATCATCCTAAAGACCTTTTAGATTGTTGTTTGGATCATAGCTGCCATCCTGGAATCTCCCTTCTTCAACATCCTGGGGATTCCCTTGGCCTTTCCTAGAACAGGTCTCACATTCCATAGCTTCCTCTTTTCTTCTCTTCTCTTTTCTTCTCTTCTCTCTCTTTCTTTCTTTTCCTTCCTTCCTTCCTTTCTTCTCTCTTTTTTTTTTTTTTTTTTTTGGTCGGTTGTGGGGCTTGAACTCTGGGCCTGGGCACTGTCTCTCAGCTCTTCAGCTCAAGGCCAGCACTCTACCACTTGAGTCACAGTGCCATTTCCAGTTTTTTGGTGGTTAATTGGAGATAAGAGTCTTATGGACTTTCCTGCCCGGGCTAGCTTTGAACCTCGATCCTCATATCTTAGCCTTCTCGGTAGCTAGGATTACAGGTGTGAGCCACCAGAGCCTGGCTACTATTTTTCTTTTTGAGACAAGGTCTTGTTATATAACTAAACTGCTTCAACTATCTACTGCACTGTTATCTCCTCTTTCCTTGTGCAGTCCTCAGGCTTGAACTTCAGGTCTAGGTGCTATCTCCCAGCACTTTTTGCTCAAGGCTATCAATCTACCACTTGAGCTCTAATTCCAGTTTTTTGGAGGTTAATTGGAGATAAGAATCTCATGGTCTGGGTTGACTTTGAACTCTGATTCTCAGATCACAACCTCCTGAGTAGCTAGGCTGACAGGCATGAGCTACTGGCTTCTGAGTCTCACTATGTATGCTAGGCCTGTCCTCAAACATATAGTCCTTCTACCATAGCTTCCCAAGTGCTGGGATTGATTGTAGGTGTATATCATTGTACCTGGCTCTAGAGAATATCTCAACTTTATCATATGTACCTTCTATCAGATTTTCCATTTCTTATAAAATATCTTAATTTTATAGGTTTTTTTGAGCTGTGAACATCCCTTTTATAAAAATAGAGAATTTTAGACATAAAAAGTAGACAGAACAGGGCTGGGAAGGTGGCTCAGTGGTAGAGCGCTAGCCTTGAGCTGAAGAGCTGAGGGACAGTGCCCAGGCTCATAGTTCAAGCCCCACGACCGGACCCCCCCCCCAAAAAAAAAAAAGTAGACAGAACAGTGAGTGGACCTCCATTGGTCAACTTCAACATATAGCCAATCAAATTTGTTCCATTCATTTACCACCCATTTAACATTTTGAAGCAAATTTCATCTGTATTAGTTTCTGCTGGTAGCTATGGCAAATTATTATAATCGTAGTGGCCAGAAATTACAAGTGTTAAGCATATTCTCTCTTTGTTGATAAGAAAATAGTAAAGAATGGTGGAGCATACATTCTAGATCTGACTAAATACGTTTTATCTTTTCCTCCTTGAAAATTAAAAATATTAATTTAGTTTATTATTTATTTTTAATTTACTTAGTAGTATATATTAGTTGTGGGATTGGAGGCGTGGCTCAGGTGGTAGAGTGCTAGCCAGTGAGCAAAAGTATCAGGTACTAGGTTTGAGTCCAGGTCTGGGACAAAAAAAAAAAGAAGTATATATTAGTTGTGGGGGGGGGGGGGTTCACTGTGATGTTTACATACATATAAACAATATATCCTGTTCAGCCTCTCTTCCTCTGTGATTCTATCTTCCCCAAGGTTTTTATTTTTATTTTTTGTATATGCTGGTATTGAGGCTTGAACTCAGGGCCTGGGCACTGCCCTGAGCTTTTTTTGCTCAAGTCTAGCGCTCTACCACTTGAGCCACTTCTAACTTTTTTGGTGGCTAATTGGAAATAAGAGTCTCAGAGACTTTCCTCCTTCGCCTGGCTTCAAATCTTGATCCTCAGAGCTCAGCTACCTGAGTAATTAGGATTGCAGGTATGAACTACTGGCTCCAAGATTAATTTTTTTTCAAATTAAAATAACAGAATGGGCTGGGAATGTGGCTTAGTGGTAGAGTAATTGCCTAGCATGCATGAAGCCCTGGGTTCAATTCCTCACTACCACATAAACAGAAAAAGCTGGAAGTGGCATTGTGGCTCAAATAAATTGTGGCAAAAAATAAAATAAGATAAAATAAATAACAGAAATTTATTCTGAGTTCTGAAGGCCATGAGTTTGAAATAGGAGGGAAATCAATTTCTCTTAGTCTTTAGCAGCTGTTTCTAATCCTTGGGCTTCCTTAACTTGTAGCTATGTCACTTCAATTTGCCTCTTCACTTGTCATTTCACCCTCCCCTTTCTGTACCTCCTTTCCTTTTCTTATAAGTTACTTGTTGATGGATGCCAGTGGCTCATGCCTGTAATCTTAGCTACTCAAAAAACTAAGACTTGGAGTTCATACTTCAAGGCCAACCTCATCAGATAAGTATAATGATAGATTCCAGCAAATAATTGGCTACAGGTGTGTCCCAAGTGGTAGTGAATCAACTAAGCAAACAAGCCAAAAGGCGGAGAAAGTACAAGGTCCTGGGTTCAAATTCCAGTACCAGAAAAAAAATTAAAAAGCTATTTAAAAAAAAAAGTCATGTGGGGCTGGGAAGGTGGCTCAGTGGTAGAGCACTTGCCTTGCATGCATGAGGCCCTGGGTTCGATTCCTCAGCACCACATAAGCAAAAAGAAAAAAGCCGGAAGTGGCGTTGTAGTCCAAGTGGTAGAACACTAGCCTTGAGCTGAAGAGCTGAGGGACAGTGCCCAGGTCCAGAGTTCAGGCCCCACGACTGGACTCAAAAAAAAAAAAAAAGCCATGTGAAACTTTATGAAGACACTATGTCCATCAGCAATAGGGACTCTGTTGTAGTTCCACTGAGGATGGTAATGCTAGGCTGTTGTATTGGGGACTTTTGATGTCGATATATGTAAATGTTCCCTCTTAAATCTCTAGTCAGTTTTCCCAGACTCTTCTGGTCTGTTTGGAGAGAGATGATCTGGCCCTTGGTGTCTGGGAATCATAGGGAAAGAGAATGGGGTGTGCTTGTAATCCCAGCATTTGGAAGGTTGGGCCAGGAGGATCCCTGGCCAACCTGGGAATACGTAGTGAGGCCCTGTCTTAAAAAAAAAAAAAAAAAAAAACTAAATAAAATACTCCTCCTTACTTAAGCTTCTTCTTTTCACTTCCACAGGAAGCTGGGGCTGTAATTCATACACTTTAGAAAATTCTGCCTTGTGATCAGTTCGTTTGGGGCTTCCCTGGGGCTGGCTCATGAAAATTTTTTTTTTTTTTAATCTCTCTTTCTCTTCTCTAAGTCTTTGACTGTTTATTCAATTGCTTTGCACTTTTCAAAATATGGGTGTTTCTTTCCTTAAAAAAACGCCTGTGGGAAGAAGTGAAAGTAGGTACATACATTCTTGCTGGCATCAAAATGAGATATATAAATGTTATTACCTTCCTTATGAGGCTCAAAAAGGTGACATAATTTGTGTAAGGACACCTTAGACAAGTTTTGACAGAGCTGGACCTTGTCCCAAGATGATGCTCTGGGTAGGAAGGACAAAAGATTCTGCCCAAAGATCAGGATCTAGCTCTCTCTGAGCCACAGCATGCTGATGTTGGCGGGGGCCTTTCAAGAACAGCCGGTCCAACCCCCTCACACATGAGTGAGAAAAGGGAGGCTGAGAATGGGGAAGGGAGTCTCCCAGAGTCATGCAGCAAATTCGTGCACCATCATGATGAGAGACACTCCGTGCCACACCACCTTTCTGTGATATCCTCTTTTAATCATGGACTCAGCTAACATTCACTGAGCTCAGGTCCTAGGCTATGCTTGGGACTGCAGACAGGAGAAAACATGGTTTGTCTTCAAGGAGTCTTTATCCTGCTTCTGGTCATTGATAGCAGTTAATGTTCACTGAGTAGTCACTGCAAGCCAAACCTTGTGTGTATTAGTGCACTCTGCCTTTATGGTGAGCTTGTGTGGTGGTACTGAGGAACCTCAGGCATACTGAGGACAGAGCTCAAAGCCAGGTCTAAAGTATGAGCTTTAACCACTGTTCTGAGTTGAGGGAGGAGGGCAGAGGAGAACAGCAGAGGGGGAGTGAGGGCAGTGGGCAATATGAGCTTCAGGGAAGGGGTGAGCCAACCTGATCTGCCTCCTTCCTCTCTTAGTGCTCCGTGGGCCCTTCCTCTGATAAAGCCTTGACCTTCATGAAGGACCATTTCCTGATGGATGAGCAGGTGGTGGGGGCACCCCTGCTGGTGAAGTCTGGGGTGGAGTACACACAGCTTGCCGTGGAGACAGCCCAGGGCCTTGATGGACGCAGCCATCTGGTCATGTACCTGGGGACCTGTGAGTATGGGATTCCAGGACATCCCCCCCAAGGGATGCACCCAACCTGAGGAGGGAAATCTGAGTTTACTTGCTTGTTCAACCAAAAGTTAATATGTCTTGGGCCCTGTGTGGCTCTACGATACAGCAGTCCCTAGTCTTTCTGAGCTTTCAGTTTTTGTTTTTATTTTTGTTTATTGAGAGGGATAGACAGGGAGGGCTTGGGTGGTCTTAGTAAGACATAGTAAGGCACAGTGGCTGATGCCTATAATCCTAACTACTCAGGAGGCAGAGATCAGAGATCAAGGCAAAATGTTTGTAAGACTCCATCTCAGCCAATAAAAAGTTAATGCAGTGGTATATGCCTGTTATCCCAGCTAGCTACAGCAGAAAGCTTAAATAGGAGGATCAAGGTCCAGGCTGGCTTGGGTGTAAATTTGAAAATGCATTGTTAAATAACCAAACAAAGACAGGCTGGGGTTATAGCTTAAATGATAAAGCTCAAGTACAAAGCTCTAAGTTCAGTTTTCAGTATTTCCCAAACAAGCAACCCCTCCCTACCCTTCCCCCCAAAAAAGACAGAACTGCCTGTCTTCTTGGGGAAGCTGTGTTGAGGGGTGAAGAGTGAATAGGTAGAAGGAAGCTGGAAACAAGGAGTGTGGAGGTCACGCTTTGGAAGTGGGGCTGTGAAGGGAAGGTGATTGGAGGAGGTCCAGCCAGGCTGTGTGTGTGTGTGTGTGTGTATGTGTGTGGTGTAGTTACTTGTTTTAAGACAGTGCCTCACTATGTAACCCAGGCTGGCCTCAAAAGTTACATAGTCCTGCCTTAGCCTTATGAGTTCTGAGTGCTGAGTAGCTCACACCACTAGCACAGGCCTTGTTTTGTGGAGGTAGTACTATACTATGATTTGTTTTTTTGTTTTTTTTTTTGGGGGAGGGGGTCAGGTCGTGAGGCCTGAACTCTGGGCGCTGTCCCTCAGCTCTTCAGCTCAAGGCTAACGCTCTACCACTTGAGCCACAGCACCACTTCCGGCTTCTTTTCTTTTTGCTTATGTGGTGCTGAGGAATTGAACCCAGGGCCTCATGCATGCAACGCAAGCGCTCTACCATTGAGCCACCTTCCCAGCCCTAGAGCCTCATGCTTGCTAGGTAGTACTCTGCCTAGAAAAATCCACAACTGTAGTCCTTTTCATGTTGTTTTCTAAATATGGTCTTGCTTTGTCTAGAGCCAGCCTGGATTTGGATCCTCTTATTCATGCCTCTCTTGTAGCTGGGATGATAGGTGTGAGCCACTGCACCAGCTTTTTTTTTTTTTTTGTGGGGCCTGAACTCAGTTTAGGTGTTGTCCCTGAGCCTCATTAGTCAACCATTTGAGCCACAGTGCCACTTCTGGTCTTCTGGTGGTTTATTGGAGATAAGAGTTTCACAACTTTTCTGCCCAGACTGGCTTTGAACCACAATCCTCAGATCTCAGCCTCCTGAGTAGCTAGAATTACAGGCGTGAGCCACCAGTGCCCAACCCTTTTTTTTTTTTTTTTAATAGATGAGAAAGACTAAAAGGATTTGATAAACAGGGGAACAGTGCTGAGATGAGTTAGAAAGGGGTAACTGGCAGGAGAAGTTGTGAAGGGAGGAGTCCGGAGAGCGGTAAGGGAGCTACTCGTCTCTGCTGGGCTGGGAGTGAAGCTGTGTGTAGATTAGGTACACACAAGAAACTGGAGAACCTCATATCTGAAGGCTTTTGTGTTTCCCATGAAGTAGTACACAAGGTCATGAGCTAGATGTGGCGGTGGGTTTGAGGAGAGAGGGGTAAACTCAGTCAGTGTAGAAAGACGGGAGGAGAGCGGGTGAGTGGAGAATGTGACAATTGCCATGAAATTGAGGACCTGGCTGAGGTGATGGCCTTGAGCTTTAATGGTAGAAATCCTTCAGGTTTATTCTTCTAGGCTGTGCTGAAAGGCATTCTGGATCCTTTGTGTCAGCTGTGACTGTATTGGGTAGACAGCAGGAACAACACAGACAAAAATCTCTGGCCTTGTGGAGTGGGAGGAGATAGACAATAAAGAACTCCAATAAATAAATTACATGGTAGTTAGTCATAAGGTGAGAAAACCAAGTAGACTCATGGGGAGGTTGCCAGTTTTTTATTTTATTTTTTTCCCAGTACTGGAGTTTGAATTCAGAGTTTTGACCTTACTTGGCTTGCTTACTGAACTGTCACTGTACCATCTGAACTATACCTCTAGCCCAGCTTTTTACTGGTTATTTTGGAATGTCATCTCATTGACAATTTCTGCCTAGCTGGTTATAAACTGTGTGCCTCTGGATCTCAGCATCCTAAGTATCTAGAATAACAGACATGTGCCACTGACCCCTGACTAAAATTTTTTTCACTCTTTTGGTGCTGAGAGGCCTCCCACAATCATGGTTAATAATCCTAAAAAATGTGGCTTAGGGCTGGGAAGGTGACTCAGTGGTACAGTGCTTGCCTTGCATACCTGAGGCCCTGGGTTCGATTCCTCAGCACCACATAAGCAAAAAAAAAAAAAGAAAAAAGCCGGAAGCGGCGCTGTGGCTCAAGTGGTAGAATGCTAGCCTTGAGCTGAAGAGCTGAGGGACAGCACCCAGGCCCAGAGTTCAGGCCCCACGACCAGACCCCCCCCCCCCCCAAAAAAAAATGTGGCCTAGTGGTAGAGTGCTTGCCTAGCATGCATGAAACCCTGGGTACAATTCCTTAGAACCACATAAACAGAAAAAGCCAGGAGTGGTGCTGTGGCTTAAGTGGTAGAGTATTAGCTTTGAGCAAAAGAAGCTCCAGGACAGTGCCCAGGCCCTGAGTTCAAGCCCCAGATCGGGGGCGGGGGGGGGGGGGGGAGAATAATCCTAAAAACCAGACACTCCAAACTTTCTGTAAAAGTATGGCAAGTACCAGTTTCACAAAGTGACACAGAGGCAAGGATTCTCTGTTTGCCTAGGAAACATGACACTGATAGTGACAGGAAACAGTGGGCTACAGTGGGTAGGATAAGCCCATTTTCTGGAATAAGGCCAAAACTTAAAGAAGATTGTATGAAAGTGTGAGTATGTTGAACCTTATTGCAGATCTAAGAGAATGCTGGCCATTAAGAGGTGAAGGCAGGGCTGGGAAGGTGGCTCAGTGGTAGAGTGCTTGCCTCGCATGCATGAGGCCTTGGGTTTGATTCCTCAGAAAAAGCCTGAAGTGGCACTGTAGCTCAAGTGGTAAAGTGCTAGCCTTGAGCTGAAGAGCTGAGAGACAGTGCCCAGGCCCAGAGTTCAAGCCCCACGACTAACCAGAGAAAGAGAGAGAGAGTGAGAGGAGGAAGGCATTACAAACTGGGAGCAGAGAGGAAAAGGGGAAAATGATCCAGTTCTAAACTCTTATTTACTTACTTATTTATTATTTTTGTGCTGGTCCTGGGGCTTAAACTCGGGGCCTGGGCACTCTGAACTCTGAGTTGCTATTTTTGTGTGTGTGGTGAAGTGGGGAGTTGCTCAAAGCTAACGATCAACCACTTAAGCCACAGCTCCAATTTTGGCTTTTTTTTTTTCTAATTAGAGATAATTGTCTCACAGACTTTCCTGCTCAGGCTGGCTTTAACCTCAGATCTCAGCCTCCTGAGTAACTAGGATTACAGGTATGAGTTACCAGTGCCCAGCTCATTTTTGTTTTGTTATTAACACAAGTCATCCAGCTTAGAACTAGATTACTTTCCTCTTTTTCCTCTTTTCTCCCAGTTTGAAATGCCTTCATCTTTCTCTCTCTCCTTCTTCCTCTCCCTCTCTCCCTCTCTCTCTCTCTCTCTGTCTCTTTCTCTTTTTTTTTTTTTTTTTTTTGTCGGTCATGGGGCCTGAACTCAGGGCCTGGGCACTGTCCCTCAGCTCTTCAGCTCAAAGCTAGCGCTCAACCACTTGAGCCACAGCGACACTTCTGGCTTTTTCAGCTTATGTGATGCTGAGGAATCAGACCTAGGGCCTCATGCATGTGAGGCAAGCACTCTACCACTGAGCCACCTTCCCAGCCCTGCCTTCATCTCTTAATAGCCAGCATTCTCTTAGATCTGCAATAAGGTTCAACATACTCATGCTTTCATTAATCTTCGTTAAGTTTTAGCCTTGTTCCTGAAAATGGGCTTATCCTACCCACGATAGCCCACTGTTTCCTGTCACAATCAGTGTCATCTTTCCTAGTTACTCAGGAGCTGAGATCTGAGGTCAAAGCCAGTCTGGGCAGAAAAGTCCGTGAGACAATTATCTTCAATTAACCACCAAAAAAGCCAGAAGTGGAGCTGTGGCTCAAGTGGTACAGTGCTAGCCTTGAGTAAAAAAGTTCACAACAGCAGATCCTGGGTTCAAGCTCCAGTACTGGCATCCAAAACAAAACAAAAAACAACTATACATTTTTTTAAAGAGATAATATCTTCATGTTTAGTCCAGTTTGGCCTTGAACTTGAAAATTCCTGTCTCAACCTCTTGAGTTCTAGGGTTACAGGTGTGTATCACCATGCCTGGCTAGATGGCAACTTGTAAAAAGTTGGTCAGGTTAGACCTTCTCAAGGTGCTTTTGAACGGTGACAGTTGATTGAATTGAAGGAGGCTGGTTATATGACTTTCTACATAAGTGCTCAGCTGATTCCTGCCCCCACATCTGTGGACCACCTGGGTTTCTCCAGAGATGGAGTTTTGTCAGGAAATTCCAGAGAAAGGAGAAGTGCAGAGATTCTAAGCCTTAGTTCACAAGAGGCCCCTATCTCTTCCCTGAGGTGGGGCTGAGCAGCGCACACATACCCAGTGCAGATGCTCGAATGAAGGAGCAGCCAGCTGCTGGGGAGGCCTTGTGAGGGTAGATAGGGATCCAAGAATGAGGGGCAAGAGCTCAGATCTCTCTGTCTCTCCACAGCCACAGGGTCCTTGCACAAAGCTGTGCTGAGTGGACACAGCACTGCTTATCTGGTGGAAGAAATCCAGCTGTTTCCTGACCCCGAACCTGTTCACAACCTGCAGTTGGCTCCCACCCAGGTTAGAAAGGACGTGATCATGAAATGACTTTTTGGGCCTGGCCTTAGAGGCTTAGTTGGGCTGATTCCAGGGCCTGTGCTGGGTACTGAGACTTTACGAGGTATATCTGGGGGCTCCCTGACACTCTGAATTTCTCTTCCAGGGTGCAATATTTGTAGGTTTCTCAGGAGGGGTCTGGAAGGTTCCCCGAGCCAACTGTAGTGTCTATGAAAGCTGTGTGGACTGTGTCCTTGCCCGAGACCCCCACTGTGCCTGGGACCCTGAGTCAAGAATTTGCCGCCTTTTGTCCAACCCCAACCTGTGAGTGCCAGTTCTGGATGGTGGCTGAATATGGCCCACCATGATCCTTCTTACTCAGCTTCTGCTACCGTTCTTCCCTCTCCAGAGATCTCTGGCACATTCATGCCAAGAGTCTACTCTCCTGTGGTGGGTTCCTCCTGGGCTGGCGTTTTACTAGGCACTTCTGAAGCTTCTCCAGCCTGTCTGAGTTTCCCATCCCTCCTCTCTTGTTCTATCTAGTTTTCCCAGCCCCCTCCCAACTTTCCCTCTGTACTTCTCTCCCTTTCTCTTGCTCTTCCCAGGCCTGTTTGAAGGAATAACCTTTGACCTTTTCTTGTCTTGCTTTCTCAGGAGCTCCTGGAAGCAGGACATGGAGCGAGGGAACCCGGAGTGGGCCTGTGCACATGGCCCCATGGGCAGGAGCCACCGGCCTCAGAGCCGCCCTCAACTCAGTGAGTGTGGGATCAGGGGCGGCACAAAGGCTCTGGTGGAGTGGACAGTTTGCTCATGTACCTGTCTACTCAAAGGAGATCTGGGTCTTAGTTCTGAGCCAGGGCTACTTCATGATAGTATTTGGCTTAATATGTTAGAGTTGGACTTCAAAGGACTAGAGGATAGTTGGGAGGAGTGAACATTGAGGTTGGAGTTGAAATGGACCCTGGAAGTTGGAGTCTTCCTTTCCTCTTTCTCTCCTAACTATTTTGCCCCTTTTCCCTGTCTTCCAGTTAAAGAAGTCTTGGTTGTCCCCAACTCCATCTTGGAGCTCCCCTGTCCCCACATGTCAGCGCTGGCCTCTTACCGCTGGAGTCATGGCAAGGCGGCAATCCCAGAAACCTCCTCTGCCATCTACAATGGCTCCCTCTTGCTGTTGCCTCATGATGGAGTTGGAGGCCTCTACCAATGTGTGGCCACTGAGAACGGCTTTTCATACCCTGTGGTTTCTTACTGGGTAGACAGCCAGGACCAGCTCCTAGCCATGGATCCTGAACTGGCTGGCGTTCCCCGAGAACGTGTGGAGGTCCCATTAACCAGAGTTGGCGGGGCTGCCATGGCCGCCCCGCGATCCTACTGGCCTCACTTTCTTGTTGTCACCGTCCTCCTTGCTTTAGTGCTTTCTGGAGCCCTCATCATCCTCCTAGCCTCTCCGCTAGGAGCTCTCCGGGCCCGAGGCAAGGTCCAGGGCTGTGGGACTCTGCCCCCTGGGGAGAAGGCACCATTGAGCAGGGAGCAGCGCCAACAGCCTCCCAAGGAACACAGGACCTCTGCTAGTGACACGGACACTGACAACAACCACCTAGGCACTGAGGTGGCCTGAATTCTGGACATAGGCTGGGCTGTTGAGAAGGGCAGGCCCCTGGCCATGCTGGCTTCAGCAGAGGCACCCTGAGCAATTCCCAGACAAAGCTGGGAATGGCACAGAGACCACCTTGCTCCCATGGCAGAAGCCATTTCTACCACTCTGTGCCACTGATAATGCCCCATAGGGCTATACATGGCAGCCTGCATTCCCTGTGTCAATCTTCCTTGTGCCAAGCACATGGAAGGCTCTGTAACCCCAGCTGCCCTAGATCTGACCCTGCCTTATGACAGGAGGAGCTGGAGAGGATCTTCTGGCCATTGCTGAGACCTTATTGGACACTTAACTGTCCCAGGAGACCCTGGAAAAACCACCAGTTCCAGGGCTTTTTGGTAATAAGCGCAAAACATCCCAACAGCATGAGCTAAGATGTCACCCCCGAAGACTGCCCTCTGAAAGCAGCTACAGCCTCGGACGCCAACTCCTCCCTCTCCTGGAGGTCTCTAGGGTCCTGAAGGAAGCTGTTCCCTCATGTTCCCCTTGTCAACTATGTGCTGCTGACTCCAACGAAGTCTTTCCTGAAGTCTGACTACCTTCCTTCTTGTTCCCGTTTGGGTAGATTGTTACTCTTTCTGCCCTTCCCCCAACAGCAGGGGTCATCTGAGCCTTGTTCACTCCTTTACCCTGGCAGACCCCTGGAACTGTTCATTTCCCCTTCCCTTTGTTTTGGGATTCAGAAAACAGCTTGTCACAGACAGTTTTATTTTTTATTAAAAAGAGAAAGCTTTTTTGTTGTTGTTGGAAGGGCTGTACTTGGACACAAGTGGTCAACACGTGCAGGGAGCAGGAAGGAGGACTAGGTTTGTGGGTAGTGCTGTCGCCAACTCCTGACTGCTTCTGCTGCCCTGCCAGCCCCATCCCAGAGCCAGCCCCGAAGCCCTTCCCTGGGCTCCAAGAAGAGCTGGGAATTACCGCCAACTCTACCCCTGCACCAGCCCTACAGCCATATGGACTAAACTCTTCTGTGTCTGCCAGACAGGCTACACCTCATCTGCCAGTGACTCCCTGGCCACAGCTGCCACTGTTGCTGTCCTTAGCTCTCCCACACTTCTCGTGACTCCAGCTCAGCCCCCCCACCCACAGGAGTTGGCTTTAATACTTGGTAGACAAATTTATAGGAAGACGGTGCAGCCACCCCCATCCTGGCCATATCCCTCTCTGTATTCTGACAAACAAGACGGTCCACACCTCCATACCACCTCTCCACTCTCCATCATATCAGGGAGTCATTTGGCCATCCTCCAAGCCAGGAGGTCCTTCTCTACCATGTTAGGAATTTGTTCTGTAAGTTATCTGAGCCATCATGGCCCCCACATCCTACATCCCACCTACATGTGCGCCCTATATGAAAAAAATAGGGTGGGGGTGGGGGGGTAGCTCAAACCTGTGATGCCAGCACTTTCTAGAATTTTCTCATCTTGAAAAACTGAAATTCTGTACCCAGTTAACACTTTATCCTCCTCGCCAATCCTTCACAACTACCTTTCCACTTATTTTTCTGCATTTGATTGCTCTACAAATCTCATGTACATGGAATTGGGTATTAGTTTTTTAAATATATATATATATATATATATATATATATATATATATATATATATATATATATATTAGTTATTTTATGTGGTACCAAGGAATCAAACCCAGAGCCTCATGCATGCTAAGCAAGCACTCTACCATTAAGCCACATCCCAGCCCCATAGTTGGTCTTTTTTTTTTTTGGACAGACTGTCACTCAGCAGAATGTCCTCCAGCTTCATCCAGGTTGTAGCATGGACCAAGATTTTCCTAGTTTAAAATTATTTGTTTGTTTCTGCCCTGTTGGAGGTTGAAATCAGGGCACTTGATGTTCCTAGGCAAGCTGTCCCACACTTGAGCCATCCCCCAACTAACTGCTTTTTTTGTTCGGTTGTGGGGCTTGAACTCAAGATCTGCACACTGACCTTGAGCTTTTTTGGTCAAGGCTAGTGCTTTTTTTGGGGGGGGGGGAGGGGGGTCTGGTTGTGGGGCCTGAACTCTGGGCCTGGGCGGTGTCCCTTAGCCCTTCAGCTCAAGGCTAGCACTCTACCACTTGAGCCACAACGCCACTTCCAGCTTTTTTCTTTTTGTTTATGTGGTCCTGAGGAATCGAACCCAGGGCCTCATGCATGCAAGGCAAGCACTCTACCGCTGAGCCACCTTCCCAGCCCCAAGGCTAGTGCTTTTTTTGGTCAAGAATAGTGTTCTACCACAGTGCTACTTCCAGTTTTCTGTGGTTAACTGGAGATAAAAGTCTCACAGACTTTTTGGCCCAGGCTGGCTTTGAACTTAGATCCTCAGATTTCAGCCCTCTGAATAGCTAGGATCACAGGTGTGAGGCACTGGCACCTGACCCAACTGCTTTTTGTTTTGTTTTATTATTCCCTAAGTTATGTATTTCAATGCAGTTCCTTGGTTCTTCTTTCTGTCTCTATTTCTTATAATCCCTTTTACTCAAACAAGTACTCTACAATATTCTTATATGGTTTATGAGACAGCATCAACAAGTAGCTTTTGTGGTCCTGAAAATTGAGATGTTCTTATCTCTACATATAGAATGATGACATTACAGAAACATGCCATAACACCCATCTAAACATGAACCTATATCCACAAGCATACATGGGTACTTGGTTGCTTATAGTTTTGTTGTGAATAATGCTGCAATGAATATAGGCTTGTAATGTATTTCCAACATGCATTCTAATGAAGTGTTTGTTGTTGTTTTTCTAATAAGAATTTTCAGCCTGGCACTGGTGGCTCACACCTGTAATCCTAGCTACTCAGGAGGCTGAGATCTGAGGATCGCAGTTCAAAGCCAGCCTGGACAAGAAAATCTGTAAAACTCTTATTTCCAATTAACCACCAGAAAACCAGAAATGGTGCTGTGGCTCAAGTGGCAGAGCGCTTATCTTGAGCTGAAGTTCTCAGGGACAGCGCCCAGGCCCAGAGTTCACATCCCATGACCCACAAAAAATAAAAATAAATAATTTTCAAAAATGGGAGCTACTGGGCTGGGAATGTATCTTAGTGATGGAGTGCTTGCCTAACATGCATAAACCCCTGAATTCAATTCCTCAGAACCACATAAACAAAGAAGGCTGGAAGTGGCCCTGTGGCACAAGTGGTAGAGTGCTAGCCTTGAGCAAAAGAAGCTCAGGGACAGTGCCCAGGCTCTGAGTTCAAGCCCCGGGATGAGAGAGAGAGAGAGAGAGAGAGATTGTCTAACTACTACTTGTTGCTTTATAAACAGTTGGTTACCACATATACAACAGCCAAAATTATGGATCTGGGGTATAATACTCTCCCAGATTTGTATCTTATTTTTTTTCTCCATTAAAGGCTTGAACTCAGGGCCTGAACACTGTCTCTGAGCTCTTTTGCTCAAGGATCACACTCTACCATTTTGAGCAACAGCTCCACTTACAGGTTTTATGGGTTAATTTTCCAATTAAGAGTCTCATGGGGACTTTTCTGCCCAGGCTTGCCTTTGAACTACCATCCTCAGATTTCAGCCTCTTGAGTAGCTAGGATTACAGGAATAAATCAATACCACCTGGATTGGTTTGGTATAGTTGAGCTTCCTTGAATGCACTATCTTCAGCTCTCAGACACCTGAGTAGCTACAATCACACACACACACACACACACACACACACACACACACACACACACACACACACACACACACACACACTAACTTAACAAAACCATTCCCTGATTTTCCAAGACAGAAATTTGGGCTCATTGAAGAATTACAATACTCCTGGGAAATAACACCAGAATGTTCCCATAGGGGGACATATATCTGTGAATCAGTATTCTAGAGTTGTATTACTTTGCATATACTAGTAGTTTTAGGAGCTTCTTGAATTCTCTACTGCTCTCCTATCAACCTGTTGACCACCAGCCCAGCCCAGTAAATGAGATCCAGCTTTGACCAAATCACGATGATTACTTGGTCTTGACACTTGATAACAACAAACAACTGGAACAAGACCCTCAATGTAGATTGAAATTCTAGTAAGGGCGAGTGAAGGAGTGGCTTATGCTCCTACACAAACACACTCACCCCCCACACACACTGAGGACACTTCCTCTCAACACCCTGAATCATTCTATCAGATAAGTTAAGAATGGACAGGACAAGCTCCCATGCTCGCTCACATGATGGGCCTCTGATTACCTACCAGATTTCTGGCTCCAGAGCTCAGCTCCTTTCAGTCCTTCTGCTGGCAGACACACAGTACACAGCTGGATGTCTTTCCCTAAGTCAACCCCTGATCCTCCAGGACCATCCACATTCCCTCCAACCACGCCCCCCACACCCCAATCTGGATTGGGTGAAGCCTCCAAACTCAGTAAGGCATAATTTCTGGGAGAGTGTGAATCCATCCCTCACTTTCTGTCTATCTGTCTCTGTCTCTGCCTCTGTCTGTCTCTGTCTCTGTCTCTGTCGCTCTCTCTCTCACACACACACAAATACACACACACACACACACACACACACACACCAACAATGTCCATGAGGTCTCTACTAGAGATTGACCAGGCTGTAACTGGGAGATTCTTAGGGGCGTGGCACATCTTGCTCTGTGTGGCTCCTTCTCTGATGTCCCATGCACATCTCGCACCCGGGAATACTCCACGTCACCCTTGTGACCCAGTGCAGACTGGGCACTGCCTTCATGCGCCTGCAAGATGGCAGCACCAAGCTCCAGAGGGAACTTCACTCATTGGCTCAGCAGGTTTTGCTGAGCCTCTTGCATGGGCCAGGTGTGGGTAGGGAAGTGCTGAGGACACATCCACATCGGTGAGCCCAAATAGATACTGCGATCGCTTCTAGAGAGCAGACTCTCGCCTGAGAGGCACACACAAGACAGACAGAGACGATGGACAGAGAGACGGAAGGAAAGACGAAGGGATGGACGGATGGAAGGACAGATGGTCAGACGGACAGATGCTAGCACCTAGAAACCAAATAGCCTTGGATTCAGTGAGGGTTTGTGCTGAGTGCCTCCTCTGTCTCCTTCCCCTGGAGGCCTGGTGCACCCCAGATGAATGCAAGACCCTGTGCGGTACCCTGGAGCACCAGCCAGTCACCAACAGCCAGAAATCTAATCCAGATGAGGCAAAACAAGCAGTTGTAAGCAATGTACCTCACTTCCATCTCTTGCCTGGGATCTGGGCCCCTGGGCACATGGGTGTCCCAGAGGTCTTGGCACCTGCAGCGCTTCTGGGGGCCGCCTGATCCTAGGAGCCAAGGGAGCTGAGCAAGATAGTTAGGGCGAATGGGGCATGATGTTGTCCCTCCATGACAAGACGGTAAGTGAAAGGGTCACCGGCCATGGGGACCGAGGGGGGTGGGAGGAGAGTTGGGGAGATCAGGAAAGAAGGCCGGGAATTTGGAGGGGACTCAGGGTCAGGTGTCAGTGGTAAGGCAAGGTCAGGTTTTGCAGCGTGTCAAGGCCAACAAGGCAAAAAGCAGTGTCCCCCGTGGGATGAGCCCTCGGGATGCCTGCTGGGGACACAGCAGCCAAGGCCAAGTGCCGGTCAGCCCTCCTGACGGAGGACTTACAAGACCAGAACTACTGGGAAACTTAGGCGTGTGGCATGAGCCTAGGGTTGCACCAGATGGCCGTACGGGCCTTCAGAAGGTTTTGCTGTCTGCTCGAAGAAAGGAAGGAGACACCGGGAGATTCGGAACCC